CTCTCTCTCTCTCTCTCTCTCTAAAAGAAATGTAAAACTTAGAGACTTCATTATATTTAGACAATGAAGTCATAGATACATGATTTAATATTCTTTTAAGCACGAAAGTCAGATTACTGGATTATCCTTTAAACACATCAAACTGCTGGTATTAGTAAGACTTTTTACTAACGATCTAAATCAAGAAAGCAGTGAAGAGTTGTTGAAGAACTTTTAACCAGAAAAGCCATTATAAGATTCACATTTTAGATCTCTTACTTTGGCTACTATAAAGGAGGGTAGATTGAAAGAGTACAATATTGGAGGCAGGAAGGCAGGTGGAAGGCTATTCCTACAGTCTGGATCATAGATGATGATTATATAATGAGTGATAGTGACTGTCTGGATGAAGAAAAGGAAAAAGAAGAATTTGAGAAAAAGAGGTAGAAAGAGCAAGACTTGGACTCTTATTTTAGCTGAAGGATAACCAAAATAGGAAATGGCTAAAGATGACCTGAACACTTCTGGCTTAAGTGACTTTGATGCTTGATGACACCATTTTTCTAAGATAGATTATAGGAGAAGAAATCATTCAATGAGTATATTATGTTTGTCTTTTTGTTGTTATTTTTTAGTAAAGTTTGAGTTTTCTTTGTTAGTTTTCTCTGCCAGGTAGAAAAGGACAATGTAGTCTGTAGCAGTAATATTTTATAAGTGGGGTGAAGGGGATAGTTCAGTGGTAGAGCACTAACATAGTGAGGGCAAGGACCTGAATTTGATCCCTAGTGCCACTTCAAAAAAAAAAAAAGTGTGTGAGTGTATATGAAATTTTATGTATTTACTAAATCATAAATAAATGTTAAAGTATATTTTAATATAAAAAGTGTGTATGCATATGTATGTGTATATTTGTTTGTTTGTTTATCTTGTAGGCAAGAAGTAGTCCTGAAATATCACCTGATGTGATTGATGAAAATGAAGTGGTAACTGCATCTGTTAATGAGAAAGTTTGTCCTGAATTTGACAATGACAAACATGCAAAAGAGGTAAATAATTTTATATTTAAGTACTCTTATCACTAATGTGTTAAATGTTCTTTATGACTGCAAAAATATAATATTTGTTATTTTAAAGCATGAGTGTGATTCAAACATGCATTATTTTATTTTAAAATGTTGTATTTTAAAACCTTGGTTCCTAAAATTTTTTTTTAATTTAAAATTATTTTTAGGAAGATCCATTTAAATCAGAATCAAGTTCACTGACAGGTCCAGTTGCAGATACAAACTTGGATTTTTTCCAATCTGATCCTTTTGTTGGCAGTAAGTATCATTTTGTTGTTGTTGTTGTAGTTGGACACAAAACCTTTATTTTATTTGTTTATTTTTATGTGGTGCTGAGGATTGAGCCCAGTACCTCACACATGCAAGGCAAGCGCTCTATCGCTGAGCCACAACCCCAGCTCCAAGTATTATTTTTTTTTAAACAGTTTTTACTTGTCAATGGATCTTTATTTATTTATACGCGGTGTTGAGAATCGAACCTGTGCCTCATACATGCCAGGCAAGTGCTCTACCACTGAGCCACGTCCCCAGCCCCCCAAGTATCATTTTTTAATATTATAAGTTTAAGTTTACCCAAAAAGACTTTTTAGCATGTAAACTATGTAAGAATTAGGACTTCATTGAGAGCATACTCATTATAAGAAAGTGAAAACAAACACTTATAGTCTTAAGTTTGCTAATATTTATCTGCCACAGCCAACTAAATCTAGGACTAAATCTTTGATTATGTCTTAGGGGTCCCTAATTAAGAGTATGTTTCTTGGGGTTGGGGTTGTGGCTCAGTGGTGGTGAGCTTGCCTGGCATGTGTGGGGCGCTGGGTTTGATTCTCAGCACCACATACAAAGAAATAAAATAAAAGTCTATCAACAACTTAAAAAAAAAAAAGAGTATGTTTCTTTTTCAGAATAAGAACCAAAGGAAAAATGTTATAAGCAAGTAGTGGAGATTGTGGAGGTTGGACACTTTTTTTTTTTTTTTTTTTTTTTGGTACCTGGATTGAACCCGGAGGCATTTGACCATTGAGCCACATCCCCAGCCCTTTTTCTAATATTTGGTTTACAGACAGGGTCTCGCCAAGTTGCTTAGGGCCTCAGTAAGGCTGAGACTGACTTTGAACTCAAAATCCTTCTGCCTCAGCCACCGGAGTCACTGGTATTACAGGCATATGCCACCATACTGGGCTCAAGGGTAAGACATTCTGAAGTTAGCCAAGAATTAGTTGATATCAATATAAAGTACTTTAAATATTACTTGGGTCAAAGCTCTTTGACATTGTATTTTATTTCCAAAATTAATTGTGAAACTGATGAGTTTGATTATTAGTTTTAAAGATGTGAAACTTAAGGCACAAAGGCAGAATAACTTACTTAAAGTTATATCAGAGATAGCCCAGATACTAGAATTCTTTTTTGAGGAGTGTAGGGGGTGTGTATTGGGAGTGAACAGGAGTGCTTAACCACTGAGCCACATCTCCAGCCTTTTTTTTTTTTTTTTTTGTATTTTATTTAGGGACAGGATCTCATTGAGTTATTAAAAGCCTCGCTAATTTGCTGAGGCTGCCTTTGAAATTGTGATCCTCCTGCCCCAGCTTCCACTGGGATTACAGGGTTGCACCACCATGCCTGGCTAGAACTCTTTTTTTAAAAACAGCTTTATTGATATGTGTAATATATATGTATATATATATGTGTATGTATGTATGTATATATGTATAAATATATATAAAGTGTCAAAAGATATAAAAGTTGTGCATTTAAAATGTTGGGGTTGGGAGTGTGGTTTAGTGGCAAGAGTGCATGCCTAGTATGGTCTAGGTCCTGGGTTTGATCCCCAGCATTGCAAAAAATAAAGTGAAATAATAAAAACATAATACATAATTTAATAGTTTTAGTATGTTTATGGTTTTACAATCATCCCCACAATCTAATTTTGGAAAAGTTTTTATCACTCTGTAAACTTCATACCTAATAACAGTCACTTTCTATCTCCCAACGCCCAGCCCTATTGCAAAATGGACAAAATGATTTAAATAAACATTTCACTAAAGTAGATATACAAATGACCAATAAACACATAGAAAAAATACCTAATACTGGTCAACCCCCCAATAAGATATTGCTTTATACCTATAGAATGCATATAATCAAAAGTATAGATAATAACAGGTGTTGACAAGGATATGGAGAAATTGCAACCCACATACACTACTGGTGGGTCTGTAAAACTGTGCAGTCTCTTTGGAAAACAGTCTGACAGTTCCTCCACCAATTAAGCAGAATTACTAATTAAACAAAAATTATTGTATGAACCAATAATACACTCAGAAATGAAAACATATTCACACAAAAATTTGTTCGCAAATGTTGAGCATCAAATCTTTTTGCCCATTTTATATTTGGTTTGCCTTTTTGTTATTGATTTAGGAGAGCTATACATATTCTAAATAATAATTCTCTTATGAAATATATGATTTGCAATATTTTCTTGGCATTCTATGTTGTCTGTTATGTTCTTCATGTGCTATTAAGCACAAAGATTCCTAAATTGGGTAAAGTTCAATTTATTTTTTTCTTCTTCCAAGAGTTTTATAGTTCTGTTAGATTTAGATTTTTTTATATGATATGAAGTGTAGGGGTTGTGTTGTCCCCAAACTTTGTTGCAAAGACTGTTGTTTCTGTACTGTGTATTGTTGGTACTCTTGTCAGAAATCAAATGGCCATAAAAATAAGGGTTTGCCTCTGGACTTCTCAGTATTCTCTCTTCCTCCCTCTCTCTCTCTCTCTTTTTCTCTCTCTCTTTTTCTCTCTTTCCTTTGCTTCAATGAAGCTCAGTGTCTTCATTTCTGTAGATATTTTTTAGTAAAATTAATGCTGTTGTGCCCATCTTCCCCTTTATTTGTAACTTCTGCTTGTGATCAAGGTAAGTATAGTAGGTTCTGTTTCAAATTTGTCTCTTTTGAGGTGTATTTCAGTTCAGCCTTTATCTTTTATTTTTAAAAATTCTTTATTATTTTAAATATTTCCTAAGGTGAATAACATTCATAATTTTATTTGTTTGGAGGTAGAGTTATTGAAACTAACTTAGCTTTAAAAAATTTGACTTTTGTTTAACATGAAAGTTTTTTAAGAGTTACCCTTTTTTAAAAAGTTATCCTTTAAGTAATGGTGTCACAAGAATAAATTTTGTTATTTTGATTTCTCCTTATTTTATCCAGGTGATCCTTTCAAGGATGATCCTTTTGGGAAAATTGGTCAGTACATTATTGCATTACATCTTAGCTTTAATTCAATTCTGCTTATTGTAGGCTTATTTTGTATTTAGGAGAGTTAACAATGTTGGAGAGTTATAGGAAATAAGCTTCCTATTTATTGAGTTGAAGCTGCTTTATAGCCATAGTCTAAAATAAGATGCTGCATATGCCTGGCATTTTCAGTAAGAGAGTCATAGGTTCTTGTGAATTTGCTTAATAAACTGTTAGCTGTACTGTGTATGTGTATGTGTATGTGTATTTGTGGTGATGGAGATCGAACCCATAACCTCACATATGCTAGGAGAACTATACCTCCAGTCCCAGTTTTACTTTTTAATAATCTTTAATATTGCTTTAAATACTTTTGGCTCTAATCTCTCTAGCTAAAGATTAGATGAACATAATGAATCTACATACTACAGGGTTAGAATATAATTTTATTTTCCTAAGATTATAGCCTATTCATGCAAATGGGGAAAAAGGAAACATCTTGAAGAATTACTCAGTATTGGACTTTAAGGTATTCTTTTTCTGGGATTTTTCATTAGAATAAAGCAATCTTGTAATTTAGTTTTGTTTCCTGAACCTGTTCCAAAGTATTGGCTGTTAGCTTTAAACTGAGAAAGGGAAATATATTTAAGTTTTTGTTGCTGTTTTCTTAGTTATGATAGCATAGAATAAGGGCACTGAAAATTAGATCTCTTAAAATTATGTGCTAATTTTAAAAGTAAGTTTAGTAGGTGAAAAGCTCTATATCTCATCACCTATTTTAGATTCTGCAAGACTTCAAAAATGTCTTTTAATTAAGGCAATTGTGATGCCTGTCTTCAGGTGATAGGAAGTTTACTGTAATGATGTTTTTAATTTATTTTATTTTATTTGTGCTTTATTTTCTTAGATCCATTTGGTGGTGATCCTTTCAAAGGTTCAGATCCATTTGCATCTGACTCTTTCTTCAAGCAGTCTTCTACTGATCCTTTTGCCACTTTAAGTAACGACCCTTTTAGTGCATCCAGCCAGAGCAATAATACATCAGTAAGTGGGAGGATTTAAAACTGTTAATTTGAGTGGAAAACTAATGCCCTAAGTGAATTTCTTGAAATGTATAGTGATTAAAGAATCATCCCTTGGATTATTACTAATGGGTAATATAAGAATTTCTATCTCATCCAGAACCTTGGTGCATGCCTATAATCTCAGCTACTTGGATATCTAAGGCAGGAGGACTATTTGTTTGAGGCCAGTCAACTTAGCAATTCCCTGTCTTAACATAGAAAAATCAAAAGATCTGAGTAGATCAGAGGTAGAGTCCCCTGGATTCAATTCCCAGTTTTGAGGAGAAAATAAGAATTCTGTCTCATCTCAATCCATTTAGTTTTTGGTTCAGGTTTGTTATTCATAGTTTGATCAACCACTAACAATTGAGTATACTGACTTATAGTGTTCAAAAATTAAGTTCATCCTTGAGAAGGAATCAAATTTTATCCCATTCAGGATATTAAAAATAAATGACTAGAAATCCAAAAACCAGTCTTAAGTAAATCTTGCTAGAAATATTTGGTATATTATTGAAAATTACTGTAAAAGGAAGACATCTGGACTATTAATCTTGTATAGAAATATAAATTCCCACTAAATGTCAAGCTTTCTTGAGTATATACATATCTGCAATAACAACCACTATTTTAATAACCACATACTATGACCCAAGTGTTTCTATGTGTTTGTCATTTATTATTTGTGATCTTCACATCAAAAGGTAGGTGTTGGTATCTCCATTTCAAAAATAAAATATGGGACTAAAAAAAAAATACTAACTTAACATACCTAAGGTCATACAGGTGAGTGCTTTATTATCTGATGACCTTTATATTATAGATATTTCAAAGTACTCAAAACGAAGTAACAAACCTCCTCCATGTATCTATCACACAATTTCAATAGTTGTGGATGGACTGAGAGTTTTTTGCTTGTTTGTATCTTTCTTTTTATTTGAAGACTTAGTTTTTGAGACAGTAGTTTCATGTTGTATAAGTAAACTGGACTGAGATAGGGGCAGTTGATTGACAGGTAAAATCCTCACCTCTTATATCCACTAATTGTGCAACTTGATTCCAAACTTTCACATAGTTTATTATCAAAAGCAGCAGTTTTCTTTTTAACGAAAGCTGTGTGTTTCCTCTGAGTCACAGAATGCTAGAATTATTTTTAGGTAACAATTAGGAAATAAAAACAAAGGATTTTATGATATGAAGTTCCAGGAAATCTATGAAAACAGTGATTCCTGAATACACCATGATATCCTGAAGTAGAAAAAGAACATTAATGGAAAAACTGGTAAAATCCAAATAAAGTCCATGCTTTATAGTTTTGTACTAATATTAATTCCCCAGTTTTAACAGATGTTCTATGATTATATGAAATAGTAACATTAGAGGATGCTAGGTGAAGGGTGTATGGTAACTGTTATCTTTAAAACTCTTCTGTCTGTTTAAATTATTTCAGAACAAATAGTTAAAATAGCTTGCAACTGTACAAGTAGCAATGCTATGAAGAAATGAGTACCACCAAAATCATGGTAATAATCACCTCAGCAGAGGAGAAATGGGGTTGTAATTGGAGAGAGGCACGTGACATCTTTTGAGGTGTTGGCAACTTCTTGGGAAATGATTACATGGATGTTCATCTAATACTTACTTATTAAACCATATGTACATTTCATGTACTCTTTGGAATGGATGTTGCACAGTTCAAGAATTAATTAAAAAATAATATGTATCATTTCCACTTAATAAGACTGAAGATCAGTAGGGGAAAACATCTGTTCCTAATATTTGTGTTCTTGAATTAATTTAGAATTTGTAAAGAATATTTTCTTGAGAGTTAAAGTTAAGTTTCAGCTATGAAATGTTGTATCTCTTAGTCATGGATTTGTGTAATTTGTTTAGGTAGAAACATTGAAGCACAATGATCCTTTTGCTCCTGGTGGGACAATTGTTATTGCAGCAAGTGATTCAGGTAAAGATATAATTAATCAAATTTACTGAATATGAAACATTAATTACCCTTTAATATTTTTGTCTCTATATTTTTGGTCCGGTAATTATGGATTTAAAATTATTGCACAGTTCTGTCTAATTATAACTTACCAATAATAATAGTGTCAATCATTTGTTTATCACTTTCTCCTTGTATTGTTCATTATCTCTGTTATTTCTAAGGTTAAAGATCTTTCTAGAATATATACTATAACCAATATTTGTACAACCAATAATAATTTTTTGCTTTATAAAAGATAGTGTTACTTAAGTCAGCATTGACTCTTATAGATGTTGGGCTAAGTGAAAAGATAGTGACTTCAAACAGATAATGAAAATTGTTTTATAAATGTGAAAAGATTCTGTTAATAATACAGAGAAAAGCTAAATGTTATTTTAGCATACAATGTTCATACTTTATTTGTATTATCTAATTTTTCACTTTTTTAATGACCTCTTAATATTTCCACTTCAAACATCTAGAAACTGAGGACCAGAAATATTAAGTTACTTAATATAGTTCAACAGATTTGTTCCAGGTAGACCAGCAGTTTACTAGATTCAAATATAGGACTGATGGAGTTTAAAGCTTTTTTTCACTAAGTAACTCTGCTTCTTCCCCACTCTTTATTTAATAATAAAACAGATAAACAAGCCAGCTACTGTGTAGCAGAGCAGGAAATTAAAGGAAAATAAACACAAACATGTTAATACTTCTATGTCATGCTGAAAGTAGGATGCTTTGTTTTTCTTTGTTGCTGAGTGCAACAAATTAAGAATTATGAGCATAGATAGATTAGTAGAAATGCCTTAAGAACTTGGATTTCTTATATTGAACAGATTATAATGAGATTTAGCACAGTGTGTTATTTGTTTCGAGGTTGAAAATTAACTCTCAATAAGAGTAGCGAGAGTGAGGAATATAAAAGGCAGATGTGTAGTAAACAAGATTTGATGTAATGTCAGGTATTGATTTAAACAATGTAGAATAAGAGCAAATGAAAATTCCAAAAAAACTTGTAGTAATAGTGGTTAAATCATACCTTTGTAAAAACACATGTGCATCTTTTTTAGATCCTTATTATTAAACTGATGAATTAATATATTGCTAGGGATATTAGGTAATTTGAGAAGATAACTTAATAAAATAAAAGGAGAATATAATTAACTCTTGATTGCCCACACTAAGGAAGTGGTAAGTGCCGTGAGAGTGGATTAAAACTTTAAAGATGTAAAAGAAAGGAGGTCACATTAAGGATAAATTTTGAGTGATTTCAAAGCCAAAGATGGCTTTTGTGGTATGCTTCGAAAGAATGGGCCAGAATTTTAGCAAGTAGATATGAAAAGAGATATTATGTGACACTAAGAGAGTAATCTGAACCAGGCTGGGAGACAGGAAATACAGAGCATGTTTGAAAATAAGCAAATAGACATTTTGACAAAGAGCTAGTTGATAGAGAAATAGTTAAGTAAAGTGATAGAGTAAATGACTGTAGCCTAGGAGGGTTTATTGTTTTTAATCATAATAATAACTACCATTTATTGAGCACTTAAAAAGTTCCAACACTCCATGTGCTAACCATTTTCCTATATTTAATTCTTAGATGAGATAATGGGTATTATGTTTACTGTAAACAGCATACAAGGAAAATCAAGGTGTGGAGAGAGAAAGTAATTTTCACAAGGTTAAAGAAGGTAGTAGTAGTAGTAGTAGTAGTAGTAGTAGTAGTAGTAGTAGTAGATGAACCCACATTCAAATGAGGTCTCTGGTTTTCCTCCTACCTCTCCCTGCCTGTTTGGTCATTCTTCTTCAGTTTCCTTTGCTGAGACTTCCTGTTTTCCCATCATTTTAATGTTGTGTTGTCCCAGGTCTTAGTCCCTGATGTCTTTTCTTTTTCTTTTGTCTATACTCCCCTGGGAGAGTTTCATAGCTTCAAATACTATTTATATGCTGATTTGTTTCTCTAGCCACATCTCTTTCCAGAACTACAAGCTCCTTTATCCAACTACCTATTTGACATTTCAACTTGAATATCTGATAAGTACATCTAACACAATATGTCTAATATCAAATACCTAATCTTTCACAAACATGCTTCTCTTGGTGCCTTCCCTGTCTTTGTTCATAGCAACTTCATTTTTAATGTTTTCCACATCTAAACATCTGACCACATGATGATCTCTATTAACTTTAATAAATCTTGATTCAGATACTACCTTTTCGTTGAAGCTTCCTTTGGCCACCTTTTCTAGCATTTACAAGTATACTGTCCTTCTCAGCACTTGCACATTACATTCTACTTTCATCATGACATACTTTCTAGCATACCATCTACATTGTTTTCTGTTCCCTCCTATTACTAGAATTTAAGCTCCATAAGGAACTGGGATCTTTGTTTTCACTGGTACATTTCAAGAACTTGAAAATATGCCTAGGCATGTAATATTATTGAATAAATGATTGAGTCAGCTATTACACTCAGAGCACGTGGTAAAAGCCCAGTGAATGAGGATTTTGGTGGAAACTCGTGACAGATATTATTTGTTTTGTTCTGCCAAGTGGATTTTTAAAAATTATGGTAAAACACACACACACACACACACATACACACACAAAAAAAATAAACACCATATATGTTGCATTAAATGAATTTTTCTTAAAAGTGTTTTTCTATTACATTAGCTTATTTACCATGCTAATTTTAGCATGAGTTTACTATCCAAGCTTTCTAAGGAAAGAAACAGGATCCTAGGCAAAGCTAATGAAATATTTTAAAAATAAATTCACTCATGGGGCTGAGGCTGTGTCTCAGTTGTAGCGCACTTGCTTGGAATGTGTGAGGCACTGGGTTAGATTCCCAGCACCGTGTATGAATAAATAAAAAAAATAAAGGTCTATCAACTACAAAAATATTTTAAATAAATAAATAAATTCACTCGTGAATACACGGAATAGTCACAGTAAATGTTCCTTTAAGAAAAAAAAATGTGGTAAAACATAAAATTTACCTTGGTGGGGTGGGGGGGTACCAGGGTTTGAACCCCGGGACACTTAACCACTGAGACACATCCTCAGCCATTTTTTTGTATTTTATTTAGAGTCAGGGTCTCACTAAGTTGCTGAGGGCCTCATTAAGTTTCTGGGGCTATCTTTGAACTCATAATCCTCCTGCCTCAGCCTCCTGAGCCACTGGGATTATAGGCATGTACCACTTTGCCCAGCTAAAGTTTACTTTTCTTTTTTTTTTTTTTTTTTTTTTGTGGTGCTGGGGATTGAACCCAGAGCTTGTGCATTCAAGGCAGGCACTCTACCAACTGAGCTATATCCCCAGCCCTAAAGTGTACTATTTTTAAATGTACGGTTAGTTTATTAACATTAGGTACATTCACATTGTTGTGAAACCACCACCATCATCCATCTCCAGACTTTTTTGTTCCAAAACTCATATTCATACCCATTAAATAACTCCCCATCCTCACTCTCACCAAACTCTAGCAATCATTTTTTCTGTCTCTATGATATTGACTTGTAAATGTACTATGTAAGTAGAATCATAAAGTATTTGTCCTTTTATGATTCATTTATTTCACTTAATGTAATGTCCTAAAGGTTCATCCATGTTGTAGCATGCTACGACAGAAATTCCTACCTTTTTAAGGCTGAATAATATTATATACAGATACTACATTCTGTTTATTCTTCTGTTAATGAACACTTTAGTTGCCTCCACATTTCATCTGTATAAATAATGCTGCTGTGCACATGATTGTACAAATTAACTATTTGAGTGTCTGCTTTCATTTTGGAGGAGTAGAATTTAAGTGGAATTGTTGGATTAAAAGGTAATTCTATTTTAAATTTTTGAGAAACTGGCATACTGTTTCTACAGTAGCTGTACCATTTTACATTTCTATTACCAGTACACAAGGGTTCAAATTTTTCTACACCCTTGCCATTACTTACTACTTTATGTTTATTTTGTAATAATAGTCATCTTAGTAGGTGTGTAGTGATATCTCAATGATTTGATTTGCATTTTCCTAACAATAAGTCATGTTTTTAGCATCTTTTCATGTGCTTATTGGTCATTTGTCTATCTTCTTTGGAAAAATGTCTATTTTTGCCCACTTTTAAATTGTGTTGATTTTCTGTTGTTGAATTATAAGAGTTCTTTATATATTCTGCATATTAACCCCATGTCAGGTACCTGATTTGTAAATACTTTGTCCCATTCCATTCCACAAGTTGCCTTTTCATTCTGTTGATACTGTCCATTGATGTACAGAAGTTTTTAATTTTTATGTAGTCAGTCTTACCTACTCTTACCATTTTTCTTTTGTTACCTTGCTTTTAGTGTCATAACCAAGAAAGCATTGCTAAATTCAATGTCATGGATTTTTTTGTTGTTGTTTATTTTATTTTATTTATGATTATGTTATGATACTATCACTTTAAAATATTAAAAGATGTCTTTTGTGGGCTGGAGTAGTGACTCAGTGGTAGAGCACTTGCCTAGTATGTGTGAGGCCCTGTTTCAGCACCACATGTAAATAAATAAAATAAATGTCCATTGACACCTAAAAATAAATAAATAAATGGAAAATAAAAGATGTCTTTTGTAAACTTCATGGTAACGACAAAGCAAAAATATATAATAGGGCTGGCTGGGGTTGTAGCTCAGTGGTTGAGCGCTTGCCTAGCATGTGTGAGGCACCGGGTTTGATCCTCAGCACCACATAAAAATAAATTTAAAAAATAAAGGTATTGTGTCCATCTATAACTAAAAAAAATTAAATACATAATAAACAAGCCAAATATAGTAAGAAAAAAATTAAAACATACCAGGTACAGTGGCTCACACCTCTGATCTTACCAATTTAGAGGCTGAGGCAGGAGGATCACAAGTTTGAGGCCAGTCTCAGCAACTTATTGAGACCCTGAGCAACTTTAGTGAGACCCTGTCTCAAAATTTGAAAAATAAATAACCATACTGTGTCAGATGAAGTAGACTTTAAATCTTAGGCAATAAAGATTGATAAGAAAGGTCATTATATGGTAGTATGAGCTGAACATGGTCGCACCACACCTATAATCCCAACAACTCGAGAGTCTGAGGCAAGATGACCATAAGTTCAAGAGAAGCCTGAATAATTTAATGAGACCCTATCTCAAAATAAAATGTTCTGGAAATAACTCCATGGTATGGTTCAATCAACACACACACACCCACACACCCACACACACACCCAAAAAAAAAAAAAAAAAGATAAAGGAGTCAGTTCCACAAAAGGAAACAACAATTGTAAATATATATGCACCAATATATATGAAGCAAATATTAATTGACCTAAAAAGAGAGAGACTCCAACAGAATAATAACTGGGGACTTTTACCCCCACTTTCTGTAATGGACACATGATTCAGACAGAAAATCAATAAAGAAACAGCAGAATTAAATTGCATTCTAGACTAACACCGAAGTACTCAAAACCCTCTATTTCCTTGTTTATTTTCTGGGTTCTATTCTATTCACAATTGAAAGTGAGATATTGAAGTCTCCATGTAACTGTAGAACTGTTTCTCTCTCTAACTCTGTCAAGGTTTGCTTCATATATTTAGAACTCTGTAATTTGTATATTATAAAAGTATAAATCTTGGTAAATTTCTCCTTTCATCATGCCCAAGCAGCATCTTGGGAGTCATACTAGGCTGCATCTAAATTCTTTCTAAAATCTCTGGGGAGTAGCAGAGCTTTACCAATTGACTGAAGATATGAATAAGTAATTTGTCTCAGACCTGCCACATTGTAAGATTTTTAATTGAACAGTAAAGAGAGAGACCAACTTTCTTTTCTGGGAAGACTATTTTTTGAAATTAACTTGGCAAATCTGTGTTTTCCCCTACTTATGTATATAGATTCGTTTGTTTGTTTTTAGTAACAACAGCATAAGTCTTTCCTCTATGTTGTTTTCTTGAATTTCATTATGCTTGACATAAAAACTTTCAATTATGGGGATATGGGGAAGCTGAATGAGTTATAAGTAATTTAGATCAATGGTTCATCCCTAAGAATCTAAATATTTTTATGGGAAAAAGAGGAATGTACATAGTTTTTTGTTTTGGTACTGGGGATTGTGCTTTGCCACTGAATATAGCACTAAGCTACATTCTCAGCCTTTTAAATTTTTTTATTTTGAAACAAGGTCTTGCTAAATTGCTGAGGACCTCACTGAGTTGCCAAGGCTGGCCTCAAACTTGTGATCCTCTTGCCTCCCAAGTTGCAGGGATTATAGACATGCACCACCACACCTGGCTATGTATAAGTTTTTACTGTATTCATTTGTTTAGTTTCCCTGTTCATAAAATTCCAACATCTGGTAACCACTGAGACTCAAAGAGATCACACTACATATCCAAGGTCACAAACATATTTGCCTTAGTTATTTCCACCCCTGTACTCTTACTCTTTTCTTCTATCATGAAATTAATTTGTAACCAGCAAAAAAAAAAAATTAATCCCATGGGATATGGAATTATAAGCTTTTACTGGGTGCGGTGGCATACGCCTGTAATCCCAGTGGCTCAGGAGGCTGAGACAGGAGGAAGATCGAAAGTTCAAAGCCAGCCTCAGCAATAGAGAGGCACTAAGCAACTCAGTGAGATCCTGTCTCTAAATAAAATACAAAATAGGGCTGGGGATATGGCTCAGTGGTCAAATGCCCCTGAGTTCAATCCCTGGTACCCAAAAAAAAAGTAGATAATTTCTGTCCCCTTTCTTTCAGTAGTAGAAATATGAGTGTCTTCTATTTGCTAGACTTTGTGCTAGGTAGGCCTTGAGGATGCAATAGTGAACAAAACAATTCCTGTCATCATAGAGCTTATATGGGCAGTACAGGCACTAAGCAAATATATGTCAAGTATTGATAAATACTGAGATTTTTTTTCATAGCTTTATTTTGTTTCATTTATTTTTTATGTGGTGGTGAGGATTGAACCCAGGGCCTCACATGTGCGAGTCAATCCTTTACCACTGAGCCACATTACCAGCCCAATAAATGCTAAGATTAAATCAATAGGATAGGGCTAGGGCTGTGTGATGCACTGAGTTTGATCCTCAGCACCACATAAAAATAAAATAAAAATATTGTGTCCACTTATAACTAAAATAAATGTTATTTTTTAAAAAATCAGAATAGGATATAAAAAGTGACCTATCTAAAATACAGATTTTTCATTCATATTTTCCCAAAGAGGTATGTCAGCATAGCATGATCTCAAAAGTTTAAGGGAAAAAAAAAAGTGCTGAGAAAAAGGGCTCCTGCTCAGGATATAGCTCAGTTGGTAGAGTGCTTGCCTTCAATGCACAAGGCCCTGGGTTCCATCCCCACCGCCACAAAAACAGAAAAGGAGCTCTTAAAGAAATATGCTAAAATACTGGCAACAGTTATTTCTGATAATGACATTATAGATGATTTTTCAATTACACTTTTATATGTTTTTATTCTTGGAGCAGAAGAGGGTACTAATGAGATACCATTTGCATTGATGTACATATCAATAGGAAGAAAGCCACCTGCAGGCTTCCTCTCCTAGTGTTTCCTCTCCTGGGACTTCCCTTCCTCTCCTGGGACTTCCTCACAAGGCATCTCTCATGTGATGTTGTGAATCCTTCCACTTTCTGAGAAGGCCTCTGCTTCACCTCTAGCATGATCATTATCTGAAGATTCTTGCCAAAGTCGTAAAAATCTCCAACTTGAGCAAAAAAGCATTTTGTCATTCATCTAGGATTAGGTGATCCTCAGTGTTTGAACCAATGCTATATGTGTAATTTTTGTAGAAGGTGTAGAAAATCTCTCGTACATAATCTTCACATGGCAATATCTTCTTTTTTAATTAATTTATTTCACAACATATATATCACAGCATTTCAGGCAAACCTGATCTAACTCAGTTCTGTTGCTATATGTGTTGTGAACTCTTGTGAAGACTGTGGGGGCAAGAGCAGAGAAAATACATGAAGCGAATTTAAGTCCTTCTAGTGGAACAAGGCCAACTCCTTTACCCTCACCACCCTTTCTGCCAGTCAGGAGAGTGTCTGTACCTTGCCCAGGCTATACCTCAGCTGCTACAACATCAGGAATAACAGAAGAGGAGAAAAAGTAGGAAAAGCCTGAAAACAGTACCCATGATGAGACTGGGCCCCAGGGCTGTGGAATTCATCAAATATGTGTTAATAAAAAAGCTTTTTTATAGATAAAGTTGTAAGATTTCCTGTAACTCTAGATTTTTCAACATTCTTTTAAAGATCAGAGTTGCTGATGAAACCCTAAAGGACTGAATTTTCTGTGTTAGACAAGTATGATCCTTGAAAACAGGAATATAGCCTATCCAACATGCCAAGAACATAAGAAGATACCGTGTGTGTGTGTGTGTGTGTGTGTGTGTGTGTACCTACCTATCTCCTTTTCCCACTCTGATACCCTGTCACTGCCTTAGTGACAGAGCCAACAGAATAATATCCCTTCCTTGTTTCCCTTCTGTTTTTATCTGTAGTTATCTTATTTATAAACTTATTTCTAGAGATGTAGGGACACTTTACATTTTTTTTAAAGAGAGAGAGAGAGAATTTTTTAATATTTATTTTTCAGTTTTCGGTGGACACAACATCTTTATTTTATTTTTATTTGGTGCTGAGGATCGAACCCAGCGCCCCGCGCATGCCAGGCAAGAGCATTACCACTTGAGCCACCCCCCCAGCCCCACTTTACATTTTTAAGTTGGTAGTTGGGCACACTTTCTTTTTAAGTAATTCTTATGTAAAGATGAAGAATTGAGGAATAATAAGGAGAAATTTTTTGTACCTCTTTGTCTTGCCTTTTCTTTTGCAAGTCTCTTTTCCCTCCTTCCTTTTCTTCCAATTCCTTCCTACTTAGATCAGGCAGCATTTACTGTAGAAACTTTGATATTATTCATAGCCCTTCTGTCCGAATAGGTGAAGTCTACTTTCAAAGTTAACTATAATGAATGTGCCTGTGGAGCATTGGTTAAATAATGCTATTGCATTTAACTGTTCTGCCTGGTAGTTTGCTTTCTTTCCTTCACTTCCTTCTATTTGGCAAATCATTCCTTATTCAGAAGACCTTAGTCAAAAGCTCAAATGTAATAACTACTTTGTTACTTTTCTGATTCTCCCAGACAATTAGTGATTCCCACTACAGGATTGTCATAACCTCTCTAGTAAACTGTACAATTCTATTTTATTATTATTTGTTGATGTGTTTCTCATCCCACTATGAACTTTTAAAGGGTAGGAAGTGTATCTTCTTATGTTCTTGGCACGTTGGATAGGCTATATTGCCTGTTTTCAAGGATCTTACAGGTGATTATCAATCAGGTAAGCATGGTATAAATCAGAATGCAGTTACTGTCGCAGAGAGTGAAGAAACCAATTCTTGTTGTGGAAATCAGCTACATCTAGGGTTCTCTAGGTGTAGTAAAGTTCTTTGTGGGTAAAGTAGCATTTCACCTGGGCCTGGAAGGATGGGTATGAGTTATAGAATTAATGGTATCTAACATTTTTGACTTGTAGTGTCTTCATTAGAAATAGTTTAAGTTCATAGAAGCTGTACTGTTTGACATGTATTCCACAGCCTTAAGTACTTTAGCTAGAAGTAGTTCACCTGTTTTTGATTTTGAATCATTTAGTTGATTTACACAAAGCAATACATCTTTGGAATTATTCATGTGCATTCTGTCTCTGGACATCAGTCATAAAATAAGAATTATATAATTTAGAGTTAATATTTTGGAGTAAATATTTTCCATCTAAAGTTACCAATTAAAAGAAAACATGAAATTTGATATCTTTCTGTTCTATCCCATTGATTTTCTTTACTCATTTTAGCCACAGACCCCTTTGCTTCTGTTTTTGGAAATGAATCATTTGAAGATGGATTTGCTGACTTCAGCACATTGTCAAAGGTAATCTGCAGTGATTAGTGAGGAAGGAGAATATATGTGTTTCCATCAAAGAAACAGTTCCTCCTTTAAATTATAGACTCCTTTCACAGACATTGCAACTTGATTGCAATAAGTTTAGCAAATATTGATTTCAGATAGAAATGAAAGAGAGCTGTAAACTATTTCTATACATAAAAAGACTGGTAATGATACAGACAATTATAATATGTTTACTCAGTAACATTATATTTACTCTTCTATTTAAACATGTCTCTTCCAATTGAACTTTGTTTCCCTATGTACTGTTTGTGTCATTAGCTGTTATATTTATTCTAACTGCTCCATATTGGCTACTTGATTTTATGCTCTGAAGTTGTTAGGGTGAGTACTAAAATGATTAATAAACAAAGCCCAGTGCTAAATGTCCACTATATGTTTTCCAGCATAACTCTGGTATTAATTTAGGCTAAGAGAGAATGATTCGTGTATGTCAGATTGACCCCCAAAGAACTTTTAGCAATGACTAGACACATATTTGGTTTTCACAACTAGATAGAAGATGCTATTTCCATTTAGTGGATAGAGGCTAGAAGTGCTTTTAAACATTCTACAATGCACTGCCCAGCCCCTCTCAACAGAATCATGTCCAACCCAAAATGTCAACAGTACCACTGATAATACTGGCCTAAAGAATTCTGAAGTCATAAAGCTTTGAGTCATTATTATAGAAAATGAATCTTTCATTAGTCCATGTATGGAAGGAGTAATCTTCAAAACCAAATTTAGACTTTTTTTTATGAGAAAAGTTTGCTGTAAAAAATTGACTTTTGAATTTGGTTTTATAGTTTGTCTAGATACCATTTTGTTTGCATTAAAATTAAATCTTTCCTTTATTTAAGTACATTAGTGAGAAATCAGTAATTTTTTTTCTTTCATTATCATCTGGCTGACTTGACCCTTTAAAATGGGTTGTGATTATTGCCTGAAGTTGAATAAGGGTTCTGTCCAGAGTTGGCTTGTTTTGTCGTGATCTGTTGCTCTTTATAAGTAGTGATGTTACAATTACTACTCATATAGAATAACTAAAGAATGATCTTTAACCTTGAATGCAAAGGTTTAAAATGTCAGTGCTCTTAGAAATGAATAAAGCCACATAATACTTAAGTCATTTTTCTGCATGTTCTGTGACAATCACAGTTTGCTTGGAGATAGATGTCTTACATATATTATATATATAAAATCATGTATAAACATTTCTTTTTTAAAACAAAGGCGAACAATGAAGATCCTTTTAATTCAGCCACATCAAGCTCTGTCAACAATGTGGTCACTCCAAAAAATGTGTTCGATGAAACATCCATCAAGAGTGAAGATGTACCCCCAGCACTGCCACCTAAGACGGGAACTCCAACAAGACCCTGCCCACCACCACCTGGTAGGAGAGTTGGTGCCTTTCCTAAATCAACTCAGTGCCTTTTCTCCTGAAAAGTATTATGCAGATCTTACTTAACATATCTGTATAAAAGGCAGTGAACAAAACAAGTCAAACACATAGCAGAAGCTTGCTGACTTCAGTATAGAATTATAGTCATGTGCCTTAAGAGGCCAGCCTATGTAACTGATATGAACTGACATGAGCTTTCTAATAAGAGCTCTTTTTATTCCCCCTTAATCATTTCGGAGAGATAGTAAATGGAAAAAAGGAAGTGTAGATGGAATCTCTTTTTAGAAGATCATTGATTACCATTTGAATAGCAGTTTCCTATACTTTGGTGTTTTAATTAATTTCTATAAGAGAAAAAAAATTCCTACACAAGGTAAAGTCTTTCTTAAATCCTTTAATGTAAAAATATATGGCTGCTGGTATCCAGAATTCAGCAATATAGTAGTTTAAAAGGAAGTATTGCCTTTCTTAAAGGAAAATCTTATTTTCAGCTCACTTTAAAGACTCTTTTATAATAGTGATCATTTGGTGGGGAGAGGTCGAGGAAGTTTTTAGTACAGATAATAAAGAGCATATAAAGTGGCTAAAAGGCAACCCCCTGTTGTGCTACTTACTAGGCTATTCTATGAGAAGACACATTTGACACGTTAGCTTTTTAGTAATATATCATTTCCTTAATTTTCAATCTAATACTTATAGATTATTATTCTTGCCTTTTCCTAATAGCCTTTGCATGATATTTCTTGGGCAAATTATTTCTTTTTTTTATTTAAATAACTGGATGTACAGTTAATTATCTATTGAAAAATCAGGTAAATTATTTAAGTGGTTTCTGTCATTTAAGGAAAAGTAGCCTTTATCAATTGCTAGAAGTAAGGTCGGAATACATGAAGAAATAAGTAATTGTCAGTTTACTCATTTAAGCTTTTAAACCTGTATGATGCCAATGGTGAGGTTATTTTAAAGTCGTAAGTAAAGTAATATACTGGTGCGCCTTAATTAAAATTAAGAATAGAATCTTTTGAGTATACGTCATTGGAGGAAGACCAAGGAAAAAAGGTGGTTTTTTGGAAAGAGCACTGATTGGGAACCAAAACACCTGGGTTCTAATTCTGGATATTCCCTGACTTGCTCTGTAATTTTTTTTCTCTGGTACTGGGGTTCAAACCCAGGACCTCGTGCATGCTAGGTAAGTGCTCTACCACTGAGCTATATCCCCAACCCTCACTCTGTGACCTTAAGTGTATAATTTCACATGTCTAACTCTCAGCTGCCTAAGTTGTTAGATGGTGGCGGTAACTCTAATTTTGTCTGCTTTCATAGGATTGAGATTTGGGATTTAAACATCTTTTGTAAGATAAAATACTGATGGAAATAATCTATTATGATTGTTTAATTAACCAGCTTAATGCATGTTAAGATAAAATATATTTGAAGATATTTTAACACCATTCTTATTATCTTTTCTTCAAAAAGTATTAAGTTGGGGCTGGGGATGCGGCTCAAGCGGTAGCACGCTCGCCTGGCATGCGTGCGGCCCGGGTTTGATCCTCAGCACCACATACAAACAAAGATGTTGTGTCTGCCAAAAACTAAAAAATAAATATTAAAATTCTCTCTCTCTCTCTCTCTCTCTCTCTCTCTCTCTCTCTCTCTCTCTCTCTCTCTCTCTCTCTCTCTCTCAAAAAAAAAAAAAAAAAGAAGAAGAAGTATTAGGTTTAAGACTTTAAAATTGGAGAACTTTCCAGATGCAGTAGTGCACACTTATAATCCCAGCAACTCAGGAGGCTGAGGCAGGAGGATCACAAATTTGAGGCCAGCCTCAGCAACTCAATGAGACTCTATCTCGAAATAAAAAGGGCTGGGGACATAGCTCAGTGATAAAGCACCCCTGAGTTAAATCCCCAGTTACAAAAAATAGAAAAAATAAAATCACAGAACTTGTTGGAAAGTGATACTGAACTAATAAGTGACTAACAGAACATCATACTGTTATTTAACCAAAGATTAGTTTGTCAACAACCACAAAGATACAGGCTTTGGTCTTCAAAACATTGTTTATTTTTAAGTTTGAAATATTGTAGATGTCAAAAAGTAGGCAAGGTTTTACCAAGATAGTTTTATGCTCGTAAATATTACAGAGAGAGATTTAGAGAAAAACCAGAGGAATTTTGCCATTTTTAAGGGTCATTTGCTCTTACTAGTGGGTGTCTGTACAAGTCTCAGGCTAAGGTTATAACAACAGAAGCCATTGACATCTTTATTCTTTATCATTTTCCTCCTATTTTTGTCCTTTCCTCCCTCTCTTCTTAGGAACATGCTCTTTTGAGGTGAGGAAATATGATTCCTGGCCTATTCCGCTCTTTGCTGTTTTTTTTTTTTTTATTAAGCTGTATCTTGTTGGAGTCTATTTGAGAGATCAGATTGTTGGTATGGCATTTAAGTCGATATAAAGAATATATTTCAGGTTCTCACCACCATCCTCCACCTTTAATTCTTTAATGCTCCCTGTGTACATGTTCTTGTGTGCTTGTGTTTGCCATATTTACTGGTTGAGTTAACTGTAATGATTTTGATCCAGGGAAAAGACCCATCAACAAATTGGATTCTTCTGATCCCTTTAAAGTGAATGATCCATTTCAGCCTTTCCCAGGCAATGATAGCCCCAAAGAAAAAGATCCTGATATGTATTGTGATCCATTCACTTCTTCTTCTACTTCCACTACCAATAAAGAGGCTGACCCAAGCAATTTTGCTAACTTCAGTGCTGTAAGTACTGTGAATGGGCTGTTTGGGGGAAAATCTTTCCATTTACAATTTGAGGAGTTTTCCAAGACGACTTTGGAGTCTGCCAAATTTGTATCACTTCAACTAAATTTGCCAAAATACTAAAATAATCTTGCATTCTTCCCCCAAGCAAAACCTCTAATTCTATTTTGATGGTTCTAAAATTTCTTCTTTGCACAAATGATTTTACTACTCTTAGTTCTTGTGTTATATAAAAGTTGTTTTATAAACCTTCCTCTTGGTCTTGGTAACATAAATATAAGTAAAATCTTGACATATAGTTTTGCAGATGGTTATAGATGATGATGATTTAATGGACTATTGGAGAATAATTTACTATTTGCCCACTGGATGAATAATGCCAGTGGTGAGCTTGTATATTTGTAACTGTGTTGTATGTGTGTGTTTGTGTATAAAGTTTTAATGATTTTTGAAGACCACTCAGCAATTATTATATGAGAGGATAGAGGATAGATGCAGGGATTTTTTTTTTTTTTTTTTTTTTTTTTTT